GGAAGGAATACTAAACAAAGAAGGATTAGGAATAGCTAGGGATGAAGACGACTAAAACTGATCACAAATGGCCATTACATGGAAAACTTACACTGAATTATTTAGGACTCCCAAACCATGAGTTATTGTTACAGTTGAATAAAGGCTGATAGTTTCGAAAGAAACTGTTTGGGGCTGAGTCCGTGGGAGTAACGAAATAATTTGGATATATCAACAAAGTTGAAATGGTAAATTGGCCACCATAACGATTACAAAAGCTGACGTTTCGAGCATTAGCCCTTCGTCGGAGCGAAAGGGCTAACGTTAGTTACCTGGTATTACAGTTACCTTTTGTTACTGACGTTACAGTTACATATTGTTACAATTACCTGGTGGAACAGTAAAATGTTCTGTGGGAGGTAATGTTTGAACTCCCACATCACACCTGTATCTGTTGTGGCTGTCCTTTTCCTAAGATTAAGGATATCAAAATAAGTCTGTTGAAATAACCATAAAAAATAACAATTTCAACCTATAAAAATTTCGAAGCTATGAGAAAATAGGGGTGCCATTTCAGCTGTTTTTCTGTGAACAATTAAATAATTTTCTGTTTAATTCTATACCTTGCTCTTGCTGTATTCTGAAATACTTCGTTTTGACCTTGACCTGTCACTTGACCTTGAGTGTTTTGTTGATCTTGAACTCCTTGAAGATCTAGAACTGTGTGATGACCTGGAACTTTGCAATGACCTTGAACTTTCTGATGACCTTGAACTTTGAAATGATCTTGACCTTCTAGACGACCTTGAACTCTTTGAGTCATTTTGAGTTTGTGAATGTGAATGCTCATTGTGAGTCTCAATCTCACTCAAAGATGAAAAATCACTTGTATATGAATTTTGAGATTTTTTATGGCTCTTTTCCCTTTTCCTCACTGTCTGATCTTCAACATCACTGACAGTTCTTGGAGGAGAGTGATTCTCTTTCAAAGAACTCCCTTGCTTGTCTACGATTTTCTTATTTTTTTCATCAACAACATCAACCACATCTTCCTCTATTTCTTCTTCAACTTCATCTTCAGTCAAAACCTTAGCAGGTTCAGAGAGATCATTAACAACTGAGCGAACATCCCTGCCAGAGACACTTAAACTTTTTAGCTTGTCATCCAGTTTGTTGTTTGCTTCTATGTTTTTTGATTGATCATCATCACTGAAGGCAAATTCTGCCATTTGTAATCCTTTTATAGGGTTTGTAGAGTCGTCAGAGGAGTCACGATTTGTTGGTGGTGGAGATTGTGAGAACATCTGAACATTAACTTTAAAATCATCATCATAATCATCGTCATTATCTGCCTTTTCCGATGGAAGTCTTTCATCTAGAAATGCAATAAGGATACATAAGGTAGTCTTGTATGACCCCATCAATCTTCAAGACATTCCTTTTCTTTCACTCAATAAGAAATAAAAAAACAAATACAGTTTACAATCATTCAAAATGTTCTTTGGTGCTGTTACTGTCTTGAGGTTTTGAAAATAATATAAAAAATCCCTTGGAGTTTCATTATAAATATAGAATGCGCCATGGTCAAAAGTTTTACTTTGTTGATGAACAATAACCCACTTAAAATGGGGCTAATAAGTGTGTATACTGATTACAAACAACTGGTGGAGAATTTTAGTGCAACCAAGGAACAAAAGTTATAATTGATAAGCAGCACTGCCCAAACATCTTCATTGGTTCTTATCTATGATCTGTTAGAGGGCAGATGCGTAAAAGGTGTATTGACAATTAAAAACAACTCTCTTTTTTATTATGTAAAACAAATAGACTCCACGTTGCCATGGGGTCTGTACAGCAACAGATTGCAGAAGACAACAAAATGTAGAAAAAACATGCAGTAACACAATCAGCTGCACCTCAGCTGCCACTTTTTTGTTCTCATCAAATTTTGACATCATCCATGATTTCTTGCTGACCAGACCCATGGAGACATGGAATCAATTTGCTTAAGAATGACTGACAGTAAAATGGCGCCATTACATGTTGCTAAGCAACTCAGAGAGAAGTTGCAAAGTGGCAATCAAAAACTGCTGCAATTGTTTTTGTTTTTTCGCTGATTTTTTAAGTATTTCTGACGATTTTGAATACAGATGCTTTAAAGAACACCTGCAACATTGAAAAACAGTGCATCCTTTGCGTACGACTATTTCGATGCTGTAACTTGGATGTAAATAACTTGAGGTCACCTTACAAATAGTCGGCATGATTCCTGAGAACCTACCCAATTCCTCTTCTTCCATACTAGAGATCGAAATATCTGGAGTTTTGTCTTCCTCATCACGGACCACTCTATCGAAACTGTTTCCTCTCCATAGAGATCTGATTCCAGATTTCTTCTTCAAGGTCTCTAAATATTCTTCAAGTTCTTTTGCAGACGTTTCTTCTTCGATCAAACTTTCTTTTCGAGTTAAATTTGAAGAAGACGTCTGCGACAGTCGCCTTGCCTTTTGAGCTGAATCTTTCCATTTTCCTTTCTTCGAAGACATCTCTGCAGATCCAAAAAGTTCAAGCAATAATCAATTTTTGAAAGAAACGAAGCGCTTCGTGATGAAACCTGTTTTGAAACCTTCCGTTAAGAGCTCGGAAACTCGATAAAAAGTCGATACATAACCGGAGATGCTCGGATTACTTCGGATGTTAGACGAGTGGTTACCAAATGCAAATCAGATTTTAAGAAACAAATCGAAAGTTTAAGGCATCATTCAGCTGATTTTCGGTGAACTTGCATCTTGTCTCCAGACGGAGTTGAATGACTGGAATAGAGAAGCTAGGAGAGTCATAGAAATAGGGAAAACTTAAGCTGCAGCATCATTTTGTTATGAACTCCTTCGATTGTAAAATAGTCAGCGTCAGTACGTCTTAACATGAGCACAGTTTCACCAGCTTCTCTTGAGGAAATATGCCTGGGTTTTATTTGTGCAAACATTGAGGATTTATGCCACAAGGATGTCAAAGATGTCCAAGATAGCGAGGTTTCCTTTAAAAAACTCAGTTTTATTTCTCCGTTATTTCTCCCCGAACAACTGGCAAACAATATTGTGAGATGTCTGTCAGTTAATGGAAAACTGACAGATAGGACGGCATCTTTATTTGTTGATCCGAGGAGTTGTAGAATCAGAAAGTTCTTTCTCAGGAAATGCCAGTTAAGTTTTACAATGCTGAAACTACTCCTTGGCAAACATAAAGTTGTGAAACTAGACTTAAGTGGAACAAATACGTTCTCATCGTCAGTATTGTGTCAACTGCTGAATGGAATGTCATCGACTGTGAGGGAGTTGAACTTGAGTCGCACATCATTTGTCTTGGACTTTTCTTCCATGAAACCACTGAACTGTTTAACTCATTTAGATGTGAGCCATTGCACTCCCATAAATGACCACCTGATGTCGGTTACTGCAGAGAATGTGGATTGTTTACAACACATTAATATCTCTAATACTGCAATAAGACATGTCTCCTCATTTGGAAAACTTAGAGGTCAACTGAAAACTTTAATTGCTTTTAACACACCGGTAGCATGGACAGAACCTGCTGAGTTCAAGGACTTTACATCATTACAAAAGCTTGATATTTCAAGAACTTTTGGTAACGATTTGTTTCAGGATTGGACAAGCGAGTCTTTGAAATATGATAAAATGCTTACAGACCAATGTATGATGCCAGATCTGGTGTATTTAGATGTTTCGGGCATTACCACAGTCACAGCAGGTGCATTGGAGTCATTTCTTTGTTCTCATCCTAAACTTCAGTTCCTTGGCCTTTGTTTGACATCACTGGAATTACAAGAACATCTGGAAAGAATTTTTCCCATTATTAAGGTATGGGTGTCATAATAATGTAGTAAAATAACACATTTGATTGTTTTGAACCACAGAGTTAAAAATCGTTGAAGTTTGTAGATCCTTTATGATTTTCATTAAATGCTATCAGAGTTAAGTATTGGTGCGGATCTTGATATAAGTCTATATAGGAGTCAAGTGGCCTATTTTGCCTGGGCTTATCCCAGTTTCCTTAACAAGATTCCCTCTAGCTGTCACACATTTTCATGTAAATTAGTTACGAGAATTTGGTGTTAGATCAAGGTAACAACTTCTACCTGATAATTTTGAATATTCTCATTACCTGTTTGCTTGTATAATGAGAATGTGTAGCAGCTAGAGGGGAGTAATTTAATTTAATGTGGCTTCTCTTGTCAGATAACAGGTGATGCTACTGAGAAACAGATCCTTTCTGCATTGCAAATGTACCCAGACAGAGTTGACTACATGAGAGAAACTTTGCGAGGATTGTTTCACATCAGCAAGGACTGGACTGAAAGGAAACCACAAGTTCTTGAGGTAAAATCTTTAATTTACATGTGGTGTAGATGGTCCTTTGAGCTCTAACATTGGTCAATATACAAGCTAGATTAAATTTAGAAAAAATTTAAGTGGATAATCATTTTGATTATCTTATGTATGACAGCAGTAATGTGAATATTTAGCCTGATGACATAAGAACTACAAGTAGGTGAATGTCATGCACCTTTCACACCCCATACATATTCTCCATACTGTTCTCTATCCATTTCCTAAGGTGCTGAAAAGGAGAATCTGTATAACAATCTAGGGTTTCTTTAGCTGGTGATAATTTCTTTAATTCTCGTGACGTTAATGGTTGATTCAGGGACGATAAATTAACAGGGCTCGAAATTAAAAGAAAAGTTCAGTAGCCATTTTGCAACTTGATACGTAAATATAGTCGCAAGTTCACGAATTTTAGCAGTAAAAAGCCAGCGGTTTAACCAACAAAAATATGAGCCTGTAATACATATGAATAAGAGACCGCTGCAATGGCAGTGTTGCAGTGATAATGTGTACCCCCGTGATATGTGTATCCCCGCACACTGCAATGATATCACTAATGATATGTGTACCCCCTCCAATATGGCAGCCAGTGATATGTGTATCCCCCACTCCCTCCCCTTCAAGAAATAACTAATTTTTTTTTTTTTCAAATATATAGACTAGTGAGCAGCACATCTGCAAACAGTAGTTTGTAAAACTGTTTTTACTTTCTGACGCGTTTCATCTAACTGTCGTAGACTTGGCTGGACTTATGAACAGGATCAGGCGAAGTTGTGAAAAATTTAAAGTGTGTAAGGCCAAGCCTCTACGGTCATTGGCTCCCGTAACTTTGGCTTATAAATACAGGCGTTAAGTTATACTTGTAAAACTCCCTGAGGAAGTCTACGAAAGTTAGACAAAATGCGTCGGAAAATAAAAACAGTTTAACAACTACTGTTCGCAGAAGTGCTGCTCACTAGTCTATATCTAAAATATAATTAAAAAATAATAAAAAAAATTTTCCATAACTGCTTATTTCCAGTGGGTGCTCCCCCTTCTTGGAGTTTGTTGATATTTTTCTGTATTGACTGATAGGTTACACTTTTGTAACACATGCAGTTTTAGAGTTTGCCCTTGATTTACAGATGGCTTGTTATGTTCACAAATTAATAAGCATTATTGTACTTTGGAACAATGTTAAGTTTTTTGTAGTTTCATTGCTGTTTTGCAAGAATGTGTGACATTTATAACATAGAAAAAAGTTTGCTCTGAAATTTTTATTTTGGATAGTACATATACATTTGAGGAAGACTGAAACATTCCAAGCAGATATTGCTTATCATGCACTGGAAATCACCTTTAATACTAGATTAATACTATCAGTTAACAATCATTTTTAATATATTTACTTATGATGATTTATCAATAAAAATACCTGATCTTTCCCATGTAGTTCAAATTGGTTGGCCTGTTGTTTTTGTGAGCACTTATTAGACACAACATACACTGCTGGGAATTAGAAAAACATCCAGGCTGTTCATACTGGAAAATACTGGACAACCCAGACTTTGTTTGTCCTGATAAGGACTTGTTTGTCCAGGGCCGTACAGATTTCAAAACAAAATACAAGAACAATATGTAGAAGCCCGTTTTAAAGATGAATTCAAAAGGATTTGATGTATACTGAGTGATTGATGAAAACCACAGAACGGGAACACAAAATAGTTTCCACATGCGGTAGAGTTCGAGACCTTTAATTTTCCTAAAAAACTTATTGTGTAAACACACTTTTTACTTGTCGGATTGGTTGAAACTTTAAGATATAAACCCAGAAAATCTGTTCCTCATAACCGCCATGTTTTCCTTGAAGGCTTTGGAGGCCCGGGTACAAAGCTTCAGTGTTTTGTGTATCCCTACCGGGGGTACACATATCACTAGTGATATGTGTGCAGGGATACACATATCACGTGGGTATACATATCACTCTGACAGAGGCCGATCAAGGTAATGGCGTTGGGTGTACCACATTGCGGATAAATTAGGTACAATTTTACTCTATATCTTCAAATGTTTATGATAATCAAGGCACACGACAATATATTTTTTCATTTCTCTATTTATTTTGGTGAAAATAGTGGCAAAGTAGCAGCTGCTGGCTTTTTTATTCTACTCGCAAATTTGCGACTCCTCTGGAATCTTTTAGTCGCAAACATAAAAATTAAGTCGCAAATGCGACTGTATTGGTCACAATTTCGAGCCCTGTTTAGGGAGAAATTTTATGCTGGTCACTCTTTGAGGTTCAAAACGTAAAGCGTCATTCAGGAATTGCAGAATTCTCTGCTCACTAGTGCAGGATTCTACAACTAGATTTGGATGGCCTGAGCAATTTTTTAAAAAGCCTCTTGCATAGAAACTTACTCTTAATTACTATTAATAATTATAGATATTTCATAATGAAAACCCTGCTGGAAAAAATTCATCAGAAAATGCTTTTGCTTAAACCTTAAAGTCCCATGAGTGACGGACACAAGCAAACAAGGAATAGGAAGAAAGAAAAACACCAATTACAGGATTATTAGTTGATCCAATACCAAATTCTCCAAATATGCATCTTAAGAATTGTATAGCAGACTGTAAAGAGAATTACCTGAAAATGAGATCTTTGGTATGAAGGTGTTGCTTAAAGTTTTCATTTCAAAGGAGAAGCTCCTATCTGTATTATTGTTTTGAAAGTCTTAATAAGCTTTTATTAATTAAAATATTTATTATGGGTAATTAACTATTTGTGATTCCATTTTATACAGCTAATACTTATTCCAATGGAAAAACATCCAGATGATCTCAATATTCAAATGGCAGCTACGTAAGTTGATATATTCACCAAGAATCTTGCACAGTAATGATTTACAATAAAAATTGTTTTTATTATGTAACTCCATGAGTGGTTTTCACTCTCAAAAAATTACGACAGTCACTATGATTTTGAAATCAGGTAGACAAATATCCATGAACATTTGTGAATGTGTTTTTGAATTCAGAGCTTGTGTGTTCAACATTATCAAAGACAGAAGAGGAGAAGCAGACCCAGAAGTGCATCCTCTTTTTCTAAGGTACAAGTATAACTTACTGGATACTAGATTAAATGTTTAAAAATTTTGTAAATTGCATTAAGGGTTAATGTTGTCAAGTCAGCAACAGAGAAGGGCAGTAGTCTCCTTAGCAACAAAGTCACTATGGCAACCAAACCACAGCCCACTTTCAGGCACTTGTGGACTCAACATGGTAAAACCAGTTTGTGGAATGGATACTTAGCAAAAAGTTAGGGGGGGGGGGTTTCCCTGACCCTTCCCCTTCTCCTTTTCCCTTCATCTTGGCTGTCTCATCAAACTAGATTTTATTTCTATTTTGCAATATATTATGGTTACCAGCGGTAGTATTTTCAGAATGAAGTATGAGGAGTAGAGATGGTTGAATTCTAGTTACATTATCAAATAAAATTAAAAGTTATTGGTCTGAAAGAAATTTTAAGGGTTCACAAAGTCATGCATCTTTGACAAGTTATGCCTCTGACTTGTTCACTCTTATACCAGATTGAATTAATAAGATTGCCTTTTCCTCCTATTGTAACCTAGAATGGCCTTTTTGTTGAATGTTTCAGTAAAGTGGCATCATTAGTTCTTATAACAATGAGCACCTTTTCAAACAAGCCCCAGGTAAGAATTCACTTATTAAAATTAATATACTTTTGAGAATAATAAATTTATCATCGAGGACTTTCTTCTGAGATGAATGATTGGTATTTATTTGTTTATGTCAGTTTTGATTCATCCTGATCTTTACTGAGGAAATGATAGAAGAATATTGGCACATCAAACAAATACCTTCTAAGGCATACAGGTCTACTTTTTGACTGAATTGAAGCAATAGATAGGAAAATGTTTGGCCTGTGTATATGCTGTATGGCAAAATATTTACCAGATTTGCTCAATTTAACACAATAGCACAGTGTTTTATCATGATATGAGCACTGCAATTTCTCTTTCTTCTCTTATAGCTTCTGAGGAACTGTATGTTAATTTTGGAGTCACGACAAGTTCTTAAAAAGGCAGTAAGTAGGAACAAGTGAATTATTATTAATTGTTAATTACCGGTATCTATAAGTAAGCAGCTTTAGAGTGATGCCTGTCATTTGTAGAATTAGAGGATTTATGGTGGCTGGAGAATGTGGGCTGGAAAGTTAGGGCTGCAGAAACTGTCATGAGATTTATGTCACAATGTGCAGTTCAGGGTTCATTGGGGGCCAGGCACTGGGCAAATCCACTGGTTGTGAGGTAGGTTTTTCCCTGCTTGGTTTGACCATCTGAGGAAAGTTTCTCCAACAGAGAAGTTCGGTTCAAAAAGGTTTGCAAGTCTGTGAAAACTAGTTGCCCCTCTGTTGAAAACATTTTAATGAAACCGCTGGCAGTAAGGAACCAAACTTGATGCTCATCTCTTTACTTATATTCTACTTATATTCTACTTATATTCTACTTATATTCTACTTATATTCTACTTATATTCTACTTATATTCTACTTATATTCTACTTATATTCTACTTATATTCTACTTATATTCTACTTATATTCTACTTATATTCTACTTATATTCTACTTATATTCTACTTATATTCTACTTATATTCTACTTATATTCTGCTTATATTCTGCTTATATTCTGCTTATATTCTACTTATATTCTACTTATATTCTACTTATATTCTACTTATATTCTACTTATATTCTGCTTATATTCTGCTTATATTCTGCTTATATTCTGCTTATATTCTACTTATATTCTACTCATTACATGTCTGACCAGTTTGTTTTTCTTTTCTTAATTAAAATGACTTTTTAATGAATCTTTTTTTTTTAGTCACTTTCTGTGGCAATTGCTAACTATGCTTCTAATTGGTCAGTTACTGACTGACAGATTAGGCTAAACACAGTTACTGACTGACAGATAAGGCTAAATACAGTTACTGACTGACAGATAAGGCTAAACACAGTTACTGACTGACAGATTAGGCTAAACACAGTTACTGACTGACAGATTAGGCTAAACACAGTTACTGACTGACAGATTAGGCTAAACACAGTTACTGACTGACAGATTAGGCTAAACACAGTTACTGACTGACAGATTAGGCTAAACACAGTTACTGACTGACAGATTAGGCTAAACACAGTTACTGACTGACAGATTAGGCTAAACACAGTTACTGACTGACAGATTAGGCTAAACACAGTTACTGACTGACAGATTAGGCTAAACACAGTTACTGACTGACAGATTAGGCTAAACACAGTTACTGACTGACAGATTAGGCTAAACACAGTTACTGACTGACAGATTAGGCTAAACACAGTTACTGACTGACAGATTAGGCTAAACACAGTTACTGACTGACAGATTAGGCTAAACACAGTTACTGACTGACAGATTAGGCTAAACACAGTTACTGACTGACAGATTAGGCTAAACACAGTTACTGACTGACAGATTAGGCTAAACACAGTTACTGACTGACAGATTAGGCTAAACACAGTTACTGACTGACAGATTAGGCTAAACACAGTTACTGACTGACAGATTAGGCTAAACACAGTTACTGACTGACAGATTAGGCTAAACACAGTTACTGACTGACAGATTAGGCTAAACACAGTTACTGACTGACAGATTAGGCTAAACACAGTTACTGACTGACAGATTAGGCTAAACACAGTTACTGACTGACAGATTAGGCTAAACACAGTTACTGACTGACAGATTAGGCTAAACACAGTTACTGACNCAACCTACAGATTATTCCCTAATCTGTACCTACAGATCAGAGAGTTACTGACTGACAGATTAGGCTAAACACAGTTACTGACTGACAGATTAGGCTAAACACAGTTACTGACCCGACAGATTAGGCTAAACACAGTTACTGACTGACAGATTAGGCTAAACACGATCAGACAGATCAAACCTGTTGGCTTCTCAGAGGTTCACAGACACAAAACTTGATTTTAACTTTTCAGAGATTCAACTACTTTGAAGCATCATGCTTGGCTATGGATGCTCTGTACGAATTCCCTGATGATCAGGATATTTCTCAGCTGGCTACAAAGCTATGTGCAATTTTGTCTGCTAAGGTATCGTAAGATTGTACAGTCACATTAAATATATAAAAAAGGGCATTTGCAGATAGGTTCTTTCCTCTATTGGACACTCAAACATTTGAAACATGTCAAATACAATGCCCCCCTTTGATTAGGTACCCCTTCTGTTTACCAAGATAATGAACACTTAGACAGTACGTGCTTCGATCTCTTGTCCAAATTTATCTTCTCCCTTCTCTCTCTTTTAATTGATAAGTGACCATGTTTACTGAACTAGATAACTCTTAACTCCCATAAGTGATTAACAAGTAACTTCTCCCTAGAATATCCATACATTATCTAGTAAACAGATAATGAGAATACTCAAACCTATCAGGTAAAAGTTGAGATCGTGATCTAGCAACAAATTCTCGTAACTTATTTACATGAAAATGTGTAGCAGCTAAAGGAGAGAATTAACAGTCAGATCTATTATACTTGCACGATGTACCTGGTAGAGACTGTACATCTTTGAGTCTGCAAACATGCATGTTTGGATAATTATTTTAATTTATTAATTATTTACATAAAGTATTAATTGCATCTGTATTAATTAAAACCTCTAGGATTAAACTTGAATATTAAATACTCCAAGTCAGTTTTTCGACAGACGTTGTATCACAAATCATAAATTTAAAACAAAAAAATGTATATTTATTACTTTGGTTACAGTAAAAGAAAGAACCCTTTAAAAATTGGCTAATATTTATTTAATAAGTGCTTCCCCTTGACCATGTGGTATCCTGTCGTAATTTGAAGTAAATACCTGGGGTGCTAATTCAATGATTTACTAATTCCACACCTGTGCAGCTGCCCACGCAAGAATTTACACTTGCTCTTGGTTCAGAGAGAAACTTTATGGTAAGAGACACAAGTTATTGACTGATCAATAAATTTATTTTATCACTGTTGAATTTGTTGAATTTGTTTTATTAGCAATAATTATAATTATTAATCAAAGCAGCATTTTTGCCAAATGATGGTAATTAGTTATCTAAATAATATAATATCTCTTGTTGTGGTTGAGCAAATGTGTCATCCAATAATTTATGTAAACTATGTCTTGTTACTAATCAATTAATTTGAAAATTATTAACAGACCATGTTTAATATTGTTCAAGAAAAGATCAGGGCAAGTCAGGTATGGATCAGATAGAAATTAAGACTCTAATGAAATGATTTCATACTACAAAATAATGTCAATTCACATCGGCTGCTTTTAGTATTATTAATAACTAATTTCTACATGTGCATTCATAACATGCTAGTGTAAATGTGATGCAAGATTTTTGTTGCCATGCCTTTAGGAGAAACTATGCCAAATTTTTTTTACTTTCACCAATTATTTGATATTAATATGGATTTATTATTACTATTATTATTATTGTTATTAGTATTATTATTATTATTAACTGTTTATTGTGATTTTTTTTTAGGAGGATCTCACATTGAGTTTAGCACTCACTGTTCTGTGGAACTTAACTGGTATGCAATGTTTCAATAAGATTTGCAGTGGGAAAAAGTTGGAATTAAATTGCCTTTTCAATGCAGTGTGAGAAGAGTGGTGCACTCTGTGCAGGTCTTTGAGTAATATAATGCATATAGCTGGTGGAGCTAAACTCAGTTTCCAACCCAAGGACTGATTACAACTGCAGTCCAAGTGGATAATGCCAGCTGATTACAAGTTACCCACCCTCCCTGGGCTATGTGTAGCTGTACCCTCCCCCCCTCCCCAAGGAAAAAACAAAAAAAAAATTATGTGAAGGTGTAGTCTGATCGTCCGGGTGAGTGTAGTCCTGAGAAGGACTGTTGTCGGTGGCAGTGACTGACGTTTCAACAACCTGTGCGGAAGTCATCATCAGAGTCAAGTGAATGATTGTTGTCAGTAGAATGTTCTTATTCCAGTTCGAATAAGAATAAGAACATTCTACTGACAACAATCATTCACTTG